ATTGGTTATCTACATCACCATGGATTTAACTCGTGAAAATTTTCGTAGTATGATTTTCTACGACTTAAAGTGTAAGTTAACAGCTCAGCGGCGTTTCGCTCGGCTTCAAACTGCTTTTTGGCTATTAAGCACCATACAAGACGACTATTTATAGCTGGTTTGCAGAATTCAAACGCGGTCGTGTGAATCTCAGTGACGAATTTCGTGATGGTCGCCCGTCCACTGCTGTGAACAACAAAACATCGATGCTGTGCGCCGTATGATCAAAACAGACAAGCATGTGACATACCATGAGATTCGGGCATGTTTAGGCATAGGTATGAGTCTAATATAATCAATACTACACAAACATTTGGGTGTGGAAAGCTGTGCTCTCGGTGGATCCCTCACAATTTGACTGAGGCTTAAAAAACGGATCGCGTTACTTGGTGCAATGCCATGCTTACCAGATTCAACGAAGGGGCGTCTAATTTGTGGGACATATTAACAGGTGACGAAACATGAATTTATAGTTACGATCCCAAAACAAAGCAGCAATCGAGCGTATGGGTCTTTCGAAATGAGCCGAAACCAACCAAAGTAGCGCGCGTGCAAAGTGCCTCCAAGCGGATGATTGCTTCTTTTTTGAATAAAACTGGACACGTGGCTACTGTTGCTTTGGAGAATCGTTCTACCGTGATTAGTGATTGGTACATGACCATTTGTTTGCCGGAAGTTATTGATAAACTCGTTAAAATAACCGTAAACACCGTGTCATCTTGCACTACGATTATCGTGGTGCCAGTTCTCACTCGGCCAGCCAGACAAATGAATTTTTGAAGGTGAACAACGTTGATCTTATGAGCCATCCCGCGTACAGTCCCGACCTGGCACCTTGTGATTTTTATTTATTTCCAAAAATTAAGAACCAGTTACGCGGTCAACGATTTTCATCTCCTGAATAGGCTGTCGAAGAGTATGAAAAATATGTTTCAGAGATTCACACGGAGGAGTGGCATAAATGTTTTCAAGATTGGTTCATTCGTATGAAAAAGTGCATTAACGCTAACGGAGAATATTTTGAGAAACAATCAATTCATTTCTGACCATTTGTAGTATTTTTTTGTTATTCATTCCGGAAACTTACAGTGCGGCGGCGGCATAATTTTTTTTTTAAATGTAAAGAAGGAGACAAACGAGCAGACGAACCACTTGATGGGAGGTGGTCATCGTCGCCCACGGACATTTGCAACATCAGATGAGCCGCCTATGCGTTGTCAGCCTTTGAGAGCCCTGTAAACGCGCTTTTTGAAGAACCCCATGTCATCATTCTCCAATCTTGTGCACCACAGCAACAAAGAGGTCGTGATTTAGTCGATTCTTATCTTTAACTTCCAACAGAGCTTTACTATCCAGCTTCAGTTATTCTTAAAAAAAATCTTAAAAATTTGATTACACCCAGAAAAATCTGTGGTTTCATGGTTTTTAGTAGCAAATTTCTAGAATTATTTAGTAGATCATTTAAAATCTACAGCACGTACAATACATGTCCTATACATTAAGATAAGGAAATATAAAACAAAACGTATACCTACCGTCTTGTTATCTGTACTTGTCCAAGGAACCTGAGACTATTAATAATTGACGTTTGATTATTTCTAGTATTTGCGGTTTTTAAATTTAGATGCAAATTTATAAAGTATGAATCGTAAAACTGTTCAAAAATCTTTTTACATTTTTGCGAATAGGACTTGACATTATTAAAATAGAAATTAATTGTTCATAATTGAATCTTAGCTGTTTCTGATTTTTATAGTGGAAACGTGAAAGTGTGAAATTGTTTGCTTCAGTGTGACTGTGGTTAACGTAGTTTTGACAAAACGTATTTTCCTCAACACGTTGCATACTATTTGCAACATTTTGTGCTATAATTGTATAGAATAAGATACGTGTTTTTGATGTAAAACATCTATCTATAGCTACTATTATGGTATACATGTTTGTAGTGTTATCCAACATCGGAACATAATGACGGAATAGCGCTCGTGGTTGGAATTGTCCTATCTAAACAACAGAAAGCAAGATCGTTCGTGAACTGTTTTATTCTAAATAATCGTGAGTATATTGTTTGATTATTGAATAATCTTTCAAGTACAGGTTATCCTTACAGGTATCTATTGTCAGTCATTCTTTAGAGATACATTGCATGAATTAAATAAACTAGTTTCATAAGCAACCGTAACTTGATCCCTGACTTTGTTACTGTCGCCATTTTTATCTATAGTAGTTATATTAGTACCAGTAGATAGAGATCCTCGTGAAGTGACTGTTAGGATGGCCGGTCGCCTGTCGCATCTGGCACCGAGTGTATATTCAAGAATACGTATTTGTTAAGCTACCTATTTGTTACCTTATCTAAATAATTGCTACCTTTGATATATTCTGAGAAATAAAAAAAAATTGACCAGCCATTCTGACGTCAGGATGTGAGCAGATTTTCCAGAAGTATGTATTACCAATAATTGCTACCTATTTGCTACTTTCACGAATTAAAGGTATACGCTTCTTGTCTGCATTAGTTAAAAAAATATAACCGATTCAAAATTTTACGAAGCAGTGCCTGATTAAATTAAAAAAACAAAACTTTTTAGTGCTTTATTGCCATAATACAAAGGGCAGGCGTTGGTACTTCTGAAAATTTTCCATCGTTTATATTTTTTTAACTAATATAGATAGGAAGAGTATACTTTTAATTCGTGAAAGTAGCAAATAGGCAGCAATTATTCGTAATACAAACTTCTGGAAAATCTGCTCCCTTCATGCTGAACAAAGTGGCAACCAGCCATCTTGACGTCAGAATGGCTGGTCAATTATTATTTTTTAATTTGTTAGAATATATCAAAGGCAGCAATTATTTAGAAAAGGTAGCAAATAGGTAGCAACTCTTGAGTACATACTCAGTGCCAGATGCGACAGGTGACCAGCTATCCTGACGGTCACCCTTGTGAAAGAGTTCGTACAGGGAAGTACTGCCCCGTTACCTATTTCTACGCCCGGGCAGTAATGTGAACATTACCTACTGTGCTGTAGGTTTTGAAGGGTGCTGATAAAATTGCAGGTACTATGCGGACGCAGTGGCAGTGTTCCTCAAATCTTTGTGATTTAAAGCTCTGAGTGACATCGCAACTGTTATGGACAGACGTGTCCACTAGGACTGAGCGTTATTTTCCGACAGATTTCAAGAAACACCTTTCAATGTAACGAAAAACGCTTTCATGTAGGTTTCAGAAACGGTTACTAAAGAAACGGAACGGACTCAGAGCAAGATATGTACATATGTATGTAGTTATTTGTTAATGGCGTCACTTTCTTCAAACACGTTAGTTACGTTACTTGTGTGCGACTGGATAGAAAACAGTTCATTTGTTCGTGATTCGTTCCAATTATGCGTAACAGAATAAAAGACTTTATTATTATATTATATTTAGTATTAACTTAGGTTACATTTTATAAAATAAGGTCCCGAAAACAGTTCTGAGAAACTGTTTCAGCGGGACCGTTCGAAACCGTTTCACAGCTTCTTTGTAAAATGGATGCTAAGCATTCAGTTGATATTTCTATGACAAATTAGACCGCTTACAGTACGCCTGAACATTTCGTCAACTAGTTCTATCTAGGCCGGAAAAGTACGAAGGGATAGGTTAGTTTTTTTAGAAGTGTTTTTTTTGTAACTGTTTCTGGAAAACGTTTCTTTTTAGGAAATAACCGTTTCGTTTCGTTTTACGATAAAGACGTTATAACCCGGCTTTAGTGTCCACCACTAGCCGTACGACTTGTTCGTCCTGTCACTTTGTATCATAAAAAAACATAATTGTAGGTATTTATCCATATTAGTTCGTTGTAAATTAGCTGCTGTGAAGAACAGCTTCAGCTTTTCATTAGTCCGATTTTCCTGTTCAACTACATGCATCGTGTAGTGTTCAAATCGAAATAATCTGCATCAAAAAGTGACAAACGCAACTGATAGCGAAAAAAATAGTGCGTAACTGACTACATTTTAACATGTGTACAACGGCAGACGTGTTCGAAATCCGGTATATCCAAGACCCTAAGGCCGGCCACATAGAGTCGAAATTCCGTTTCGGAATTTCGAGGGGTGCAAAACCACAAATCACAGAATTATGACACCCAAACAGCACTATTCCGTTCGAAATTATAACCGATTCGAAATTCCGTATGGTGGCTTGTGCATTTTATAGGGCTGCAACACACAGTCGTAAATTCCGTACGTAATTTCGCTGCGAGAACATCTGGACTCAATGCATCGCGTCTCACATCTGGGCCCTGATTTTGATTCAAATGGGAATCAATCCGATCGGATAGTCTTGAAATCAGATGGGTTGCTGAGCGATATATCTTTCTAATTTGTGAGTTAAATCAACTATTGTTCCGATTAGAAATGTCAAAAGTTTCCGATCGGCCAGTTGTGAATCGCAATTATGCGCTTCGACTCGGAAAATACGCAGTTTCCGATCGGGAGAGGCAATCAAAATCAGGCTGCCGAGTCTTGTTATTCCGATCGGAAATAAACGTATGTGTGTCGTGTATGTACGGAATCTCGAATCAATATTGTGAAAAGGAATTCCGACTGTATGTAGCCGGCCTAAGTTTGGTACATATCTCGATTAATTCAAATTAGATCAATAACACTCATAGGTACCTTCCAGGCAAGCATGCTCCATCCTCTAACTACCGGCTATTACCTTACACACGGTCGAGGTCATGGTACCTATTCAGGTGAGATTTTGCTTGAAGGCTTACCTATTAGTACCAATAAAAAAACATCATTATTTTTTTTATTTATTTTTTTGGTACAAACAGTCATTACAATATGATTATATTTCCACTACATACATGCGTTCTTTATGAAAACATCTATTATTTATATCGTGTAGCTAATCCTTTATTGTGTCACAAAGTATTTTATGTGAGTAGGAGCGGTCCGTGTGTCATACACATCCAATTCCGCTTCAGTGGTGGTAGTGGATAATCATATTTGACGCTTTGATTTTTGAATTATCTAAATATTAAATAATTTGAAAAAACTATTATTACTTGTGCAGTTAGGTATCTAGATATTTCGTTTTAATCAGGTGAGTTTTAGATATTATGCCATCGGAAATAAAATCTTATTTTAAAACGCGTATCTACAATTGTTTTATTTCATAAAATACCACGTACTTTGATCCAAAAATAAATAGTTTCATTTCCAATGTACAATAATCGCGTAATAAACTTTGAATTACATATTATGCCATCGTTCATTCGATGTATTTTGGTGTTCTTATAATGTTGCAGAATTTGTGGTTAAAAAAGAAACCTATCCAAAAAAAAAAACCTATCCTTGGAAGAACCTATCCAAATATGCATAATTTTTTTTAAATTTCACGATATGTTAAGGCTGTGGTTCTGTTAAGAGCATATCAAGCCTTAACATTTTGGACATTGGATCTTTTTTATCGTACCTAAGCCTCATGGAGTTGCTACTTATCAGCCGCTAGGGAGGTACAGTCAAGAGCAGAATCTTGACACTATGGACCGTTCTTAGGTATAGTAAGCGTTATAGAGTTGAATTTAAACTTCAAGAGTCGATACTACCTCAGTTCGAATTCAAATTGTTCCCATACTAATACGGTTTATTTTGCTTGGGTCGAGCGACAGGGACATTGGCTTTTTACAGATTTTTTTTCAAACGAAATTGAAGCGATATGAAATATATAATTGTATCGTATAGTATACGTGTTTTAGTTAGTCCAGTTGATATATAAAAAAAAATCATTGGTATGTGTAAAGTACCTAATTGAGTACTTACAGCGGTTTTCTTGTAAAATTTCGTGGTACGTTTGTGTGTTTTTTTTCTATTATTAAATTTTTTGGGAATCGACAGAGACGACGCTCCACAAATCTGAAATCAGTCGATTACCTTTTTTTAAGACTCGATGAGTAATATGTATACTTATATACGCCTGCCACTGGCAACTACCTATGTTATATCGAAATATTGTTAACATTTATAACTTTCAACCTATAAACCTGTTTATGGCTTTTTTACGAAGAGCGTTATCCTTACTTTACTGTTTGATTTTCAATATTACGAGGGCAATAGCTTTTATGGACCTCGTTATGCATATTCTGAAACTCATTTTCTCGGGATTTTGATTTTTATACTGTTGTTTAAATTGTTTATGTTACATATTTATCAATAAGTTTTGTACAGTCAACATAAAAAATGTTAAAATCATCAAGAGATCGTTAGAATCTCATGATAACTACACATTAATAAGAAGTCTTTTGAACATATTTATTTGTTACCATGCTGGTGTGTCTATTTTAGCTTCTCGCCTGTCTCATAGCCTAAAATATTAATGTTAAATTTTCAAATGGAAGAGGCGGTGTTCCCCGGCAATTGCACAGTTGAGCAGGATCAGAGACTCAGGGGGTTATACTCTCTTTCTCCGTCTGACATCCATCCGAAACAATTACTGTCAAATAAGTAATAGGTACTCGACCAAGTTAAAAGACCATGTAAAGTATGAAGCTTCATTCGCATCATGCGCTTTTAAATTTGGTCGAGTATTAGTTATTTTAAAGTAATTGTTTCGGACTGATGTCGACAGACCCCCTCCTGGTTCAAGAACAGTTTATTTGATTTCTTTTTTCTCTCAGCCTACTGGCTGGTTTTGCGCTATATCGTTCATAATGAATGACTACGATGTTATACCGTTGCAAACAGATAGTTAATCGTTTTCCAAGTAAAAGAAATTCCCTTCAATCAAGTTGTTGGTATAGAAAATGCTAAGTTATATAGTTCAGAGTTCGATGGTCAACACGAGAGAGATGGTAACCACGTTTGTTGCAGTAATGTATCTGCCACTACTGTTGCTGCTTTTCGGAGCAGCATACTGCGATCATCATGAACGGACCAACATGTTGCCAGGACATACCACCATCGTTCATCTGTTTGAATGGAAATGGACCGACATAGCTGACGAGTGTGAACGATTCTTATCTCCTAAAGGATATGGCGGCGTGCAGGTAACATTGAACATTTAGGTATTATATTTAGGTAAGAATAACAGCGAGGGCTATGTAATTAGCATAGTCCTCAGATGCTCAACCGTTTTGTACATGCTTTTTTATTTTAACTTGAATTTTTTTTATTTTCCTTGGTTTAATTTATGTATTTTGCATGACAAATAAGGCCCTTTTTATTTATGTATATGAAATAATAGTTAGCGTATATATGTATAGTCTCACCGTTGCATGCACGCCTCCTCTCACAATAGGAGGGTGTGAACTATAGTTCCCACGCCAAAATTACAGGCACATGGGATTCGACATCTTATGTAATAACTTGTTGGGAAAGTGGTAAAAATATATATATGTATAAATGTATAATATAATCTTAGAATAAGGGTCAATATAAATTACCGCGGAACGAAATAGAAGCGAATCTTTGTAACTTTAAGTCAATTGTATTGTAAAGTACAAACTTGAAAACAGGGTGCGCATTTTCTTGAAAATTTTCACAGCCTTGGCAATTATCGCAGCTACCGTATCGTATCTAGTTGGTGCGTTACACAATTGACACTGAGTTCGTAGTGCGGTGTATAATTTGTTTACAAAAATCCGCTTCACTTCACTTGGTTATTGTATGAAAAGATGGCTTATGTAAACCTTCCTTTCGTACAATAACCAAGTTAGTAAGTAAATAGTTTCGAAAAACTGCTTTTAATACATTTTTTACTTTAGTTTATTCAATTAAAAGATTATTTTATTATTTTATTTACAGCAGCTTTGTTATGTGTAAACTTATTGTTACCTCTGAAAGTAGGTCAAGTAAACCTATCTACGAGTGTCATATAAATGTATTGGACCGGCAGTTTTATTTTTAAAACGCTATTGTTGTCATTTTACTTATTAGGTAACGTACTTTCGACATCAAAGTTTAAAGGTTTTTGATATCTCTTATATTGACGGAATAAACTCCTGAGCACACTTAACGATTACATTCTACTATGCTATTTACGCTCTATGGTACTCATCATCCAATTTATTATCCAGGTTTCGCCACCATCAGAGAATATAATAGTACGTAATAGCGATGGTACACGACCTTGGTATGAGCGTTACCAGCCTATATCATACATCATCGGTACGCGGTCGGGCAATCGAGATGAATTTCTTAACATGACCAGGAGATGCAATAAAGTTGGTGTCAGGTGAGCTAAAAGGGATAGAAGGAACCTTAGCCAGAGCATACAAACCACATCTTCTTGATGTTTTTATAGCACACGCACGCTCCGCTCGCGCTCTGTTTTCCAAAGATCCTGTATTTAATAGTTTTATTCACTTGCTCATCTATTTTAAGTATTTGACCTGGGGGTTCTACCACAACCTCTTAAAACAATATTACTTTAACCCTACATTGACTTTTCGTATCATGATGCGCTTAAAGCAAGCTTATTATAATGTTAAAACTATGATGTTTTATTGGCCGCTTTGTGAATATTCATTCGCTCAATTCGTACTATGAATTACTTTGACTTTGACATTATGGTAATATTGTTGTTATGTCAAATTTAACAATCTTAAAATAGTTACTTGGACGCAATTGAAATAATATTATTTTCGAATTTATTGTCTAAATATTGATTGGTAACGATTAAAAGTTAAGCTTAACTTATTTATTTACATAAATTTCTTGAATATTTTGTTTACTTTTATTTAATAGTACATAAGAAATAATTTCTCGTTAAATAAAAAGACGTGATGTCTATTTCGTAATATTATGACAGCGACTGCTGACACTAGACTATAATTTCGAATTCACAACGTGACAATCAAGGATCAGTTTATTTTATTTATTGTTCTTCATCAAAATGCGACAAAATAATTGAAAACAACGTAATTTTAATGGATTTTATAATTACATATTTTTCTTTATTTGGCAGTTAAAATTATCTCAATGTAAATAATATTAAGTATTTTAACATTATACTACGAGACGAGGATTCGGCATATCAAAAAAGAAAGAGATGTCATTATATTTTCATATTTTTAGTGAGGAATATTTTATGAAATATTTTCGTTAAATTTAAATGAGACCAATATTGAGGTATTCTCTTTTTTTGTTGGAAAGAGGTCTCATTTACTCCAACAAATAAAGAATCATCAAAATCGGTTCACAAATTTAATTATTGAGTAGTACTCCGCCTCCTTTTTTTGTAGTCGGTTAAAAAGAACTCAGTACGTCCTTTGGCTCAGTAGTCCAAAATTGTAATTTGCCTGAATACATGTATGTTTTGTAATTTATTACTTTCTGGACAAAATTTTACTACAGAGCCAATGGATTTATTTATTTTAATTTAAAATAATGAATTAGTCCAAAATTACAATTTGTCTGAATTCGTGTATTCTTTGTAACTTGTTATACATAGATTTTTTCACTTCTAGGATCTACGCAGATGTAGTAGTGAACCATATGACTGGCAACAGTCAGACCAATATTGGTACAGCAGGCAGCAAGGCAGACCCCGAACATTACACTTATCCAGCTGTGCCGTACGGTCCTGAGCATTTTCACCAACCGCATTGTGGAATCAGTAACTATAATGATGCTACCCAGGTTAGTACGGTTAGGATAATTTGATAGTATCAAAATAAAAAATAAGAAAGGAACATTATACAATCTTCATAGTAAAGCTATACATTTTAATATTAGAACGAAACGAAAGAAAGAATATGTGTGGTCTGTCTAATGTAAGCCATTTTGAAAAAAAAAAAATGGTCTTCTCGCTTATTAACTAATTTCAACTGGCTGAGGAAAGTGATCAGAGACAAAAAAGATACGGACCCTTTAATGACAATGAAATGCAATGAATTAGACAATTTTTAATAGGCAGCTTTGTCGCTACGTATCTATTTCTTGTGGGTAGCGAAAAATACCGCACGGTATCTTTCCGGGTTAGGTTATATTTGTATTTGTATGAGATACCGCGTCATACCGCCCAGATCAGTTTTTCATTGCTTTGCGGAATTGGTTTTGCGCGGTTGTAGCGGCAAAATTCATATCATCATCTCCTCCGCAAGTTAGTTAATGACGATTAGTTGACATATAGAAAAGAGTCGTGTCGTCGAAACAGTGAAATGAGAAAATGTATTGAGATTCCACCTTACTCACGGTTATATTATGGTCTTGTTGTCTAGACGGACGAAAATTAAGCAAATTTCGCCACTCATAGCGGTAACGATGTCCGCTTAGGTTTGAATAGTAGGACTACCGCATACTCATTCGGATATCTCTACCTACAGCAAAAAGGTCTTAAATCGATACATTTTTTTATTATTTTGGCATTTAGTATTGAAAAAAACAAATTTTTTAAATAAGTGTGCATTTGACCTCCATCTTACCTGATGAAAAGTGATGATGAGGTCGAGGATGCAGCATTTACACCTCAATAATGCCTATTGACTCTCGCCTTGAAAAGGTCCAAGTTATAGCGTTCGGGGAACAAGTCTGAAGGCAGGGAATTTCACTCCCTAGCCGCTTGCCGTTCAAATTGGAAGCGAAACTGTTCATGCGAATCCTGGGAATATCTACAACATAGGGGTGGAACCCCAGCCCACGTCTAGTCGCCCGATGATGGAAAGGCGAACGCGGAATCAAATAATGCAATTCCATCGCACACCCGCCGTGATATATCCTATAGAATACCGATAAGCTGGCAACTCTACGGCGGTGTTTAAAGCTCTGCAGCTTTTTATAGTCGGCGGTTAACACTTTCCATCATGGAATCAGATGTACTGCTTGAATAACTTAAAAATAACGTAATAATACTTTTTCAACAACTCCAGGTTCGTAACTGTGAGCTGAACGGTTTAAAAGACTTGAATCAGACCGAGGAGTACGTCCGTGACAAAATAGTCAACTACTTCAATGACCTAATTAGTCTTGGAGTGGCGGGTTTGAGGTACCTCCCTCTATGGATTTAATGCAATGTTTTGTGTTTTCGTACCTAATGAGAACTGCTTTTTATGTTTGTTTGCTTTTTATGTGCTTTTCACATTGTTACAATATACAAATGGAACGTCCTGTATCGAGATGGGTGGATGACATCGTTATAGGTTGTAGATTGGTGAGACTAGCACCGGATGGCACAAACTATGGGAGGCCTATACCCAGCAGTGGGTGAAGACGGACTGTAGATGATTATGATGATGAAATTTTAAGTAATAAGAAAACAAAACAAAACTCTACCTTTACTTGAAAGAGCTACAGGTAGAAATAACATTCAATTGCCTCCGTGGCCACACGGTTACCATGCTGGACTGCCACACAGAGGTCTCGAGCTTGATTCCCGGGCCGAGAGAAATATTTGTATAGCCTACATTTATTTATCTCGTGAGTTTGGGTGTAATTTGTGGTTGTCTACGTGTCCATGGCACCCGCGATGCAGGGTTGCTCTAGTGCGGGGCTACAGGAAACTTTTTCTTTTGCGATATCTTAGATATTAATATGTAGATAACTATTATTATGAGGAGCGGTGTCATAAAAAACTCAACATACAAAATTCATACCAAAATGTATTGAGAGAGTGTATGTATCCAATATCAGCCTATTTAAAATTTCGTGGAATAACAAATGACATCCTTTACATAATGTAAGTATCTCAGCTCTCCGGCATTGGCATCTTGGTAACTGTTTAGGTATTGGCACCAAAAGGTTTTCTTTCTTTGAATTATGTCAATTATGCTGACGAGACGAAGCTAGACGAGATGGTTGTAGATCTGGTTTTGCTGATTCCAGTTATGTTAATTACTGAATTCCGCTAAAAATTCCGATTACGTTAGTTACGATAAGGAGGGCAGATCTGCTTTCTTTGCACATTTTACCGAGTTGTTTGCCTTCCATAGGCGGTGGAAAGGAAAAAACCGTTTCAGTTTGTAAAAAAGAAATCTTTTATTCTTTTTTTTTTCTTTAAAAATTTAGACGCAGTAGAGCTCCTTATGAAAGAGTTCGTCCAGGGCACTACTGCCACTTTACCTATTTCTGCCGATAAGCAATAATGTCAGCATAACTGTGTTCCGGTTTTGAAGGGTAAGGGTACTCGTGAAATTACAGGCACATGGGACTTGTCAACTTATGTCTTAGGGTGACGGGCAGTGTTCAGTGGCAGTGCTCAGATCTTACCGGAGTGGCAGTGCTCAGATCTTACTCTTTTTTGAGTTAAAAGATTTTTTTCACTATAAAGCCAATCACTGTACTATTGTCATAATCGTACATTCTTTTATACAAAAAAGTTGACGAGATATTCATAAAGCGTAATTGTTATATTATTGAATCAATATAAGCACTTACGGCTCAAAGAAAATTAGTGACAATATCGTGTGCGGTTATATTTAAGTACTGTCTATTAACGGGTTAATTAGCTACGCCACAAAACAGTTTTGCATTTTTTTCATGCAGTTAATTAAAAATATATGTATATAAAAAAGATGAAAAAAGAAAAGAAAATATCAACACAAGAGCAGTTGTTTTTCGCTGCGTTCGCGGAGTAGCAAATTAATTTACTTTCATTTTCATTTTTGCCTCATTTTCTGTAAAGTTTTGATAAGTGACTGTCTCACCGGAGGTGCGATGTTTGAAGTTTTATGTGTCATATTTTCATATCCCAGAATTTTCTCATTGTGTACTTTCTTGACATACCTTGCTCTAATCTTCTTTTTAAATGTTTACCTGGTAGCAATGTTCTAACTCAAAACTTCATGTATTTTCTATTTGTAACTAACAATATTCGCAGGTAAGAACCTGCGAGCTCGTTGGATTAAAGGATCTAAACCACAATTTGGAGTATGTACGTAACAAAGTGTCTGATTTTCTAAACGACCTTATTACGCTCGGCGTGGCAGGTTTCAGGTAATAATTAGGGATTGTTTTTCCAATTAACTTTGTGTTATTGATAATAAACGTCACTGTTAGTTTAATGACATCGCTTTAAAACTAGATTGTCAAGAGAAAAATCCATCGCACGGCTTCCATTACACAAAAAGTTTCGTTATATTTTGGGTACTTCATTACTAATAATAAGGTTGACTTATATAAAAAAGTTGTGGGTTGCTAGTTAAATTATATAATTACATAGTTACACTTGCAAAAATCTCGCAATTTTCGACCGCAAATGGTTAAATACATATATAAGTATATGTAAAAGTACGTTGGCTGCTTGTTTATATCTGGTTAGAAGGACTAATTGTACAGTATCAGTGTATGTATATGAAAGTAAAGTTGTCTTGTAGTAGCACCGATAAGCTTTATTACTTAATAAGATGGGCTAAGAACATGCCTCTTAGGTATGTACTGCAGTCTATCAGCCTAAATACTCTTCAAAGCCTATAAAGCTCTAGTTCTATCCACATAAGTGTAATATTATGGACGGATGTCAGCACCGTGTGGTCATAGACGGATTAGGCTCAATTTACATTGCGGCGGAACGGAAGCGTTTCGCTTCGCTGCGCGAGAAGGCGCGCAGTATTCACGAGCTTTCTCGCGACTGCGCCTTGAAGCTGTAGTATTTCGACGACGGTTGACGTCACGCTGCGCCTGCCTTCGCGCCACTTCTCGCGGATTCGTTCCGTTTTCGCCGCAATATAAATCGACCCTTATATACTGAAATGAAATGATGTTGATTTTTGATGTGCTATCATAGCCTGGCTTCCCTAGAATATAAACGTTATTGCTGTTGAAAGACATACCTATAATATTTATACATAGTAAGTAATATAAAAATGTTTATAAAATAAAATTGTTTAAAGTGCCGCTGAGGCACTATTTTGCAACCTAGTTTGTTTAAATAGTAGTTAGTTA